CTATCTATCTATCTATCTATCTATCTATCTATCTATCGTTGGCCATCGTCCAGTTCTTTCTTTCTTTCTTTCTTTCTTTCTTTCTTTTTTCTTTCTTTCTTTTATCTATATATCTATCTATCTATCATCTATTCATCTATCTATCTATCTATCTATTCATCTATCGTTGGCCATCGTCCATTTCTTTCTTTCTTTCTTTCTTTCTTTCTTTCTTTCTTTCTTTCTTTCTTTCTTTCGTTGGCCATAGTCCAGTTCTTTCTTTCTTTCTTTCTCTATCTATCTATCTATCTATCTATCTATCTATCTATCTATCTATCTATCTATCTATCTATCTATCACATCTATTTATCGATCTATCAGTACGTTTATATCTATCTATCTATATCCAAATTCATCACTGCCTACATTAATTTTGTGGATATAACTTATTCGTGTAAATGTTCTGTTTTAATTAAACAGTATTAATTACATTTACTGGCCTGTATTTTCGAGAAATTTCGCAGAAAATATGCGTTCTCCGACTGGAATCGAACCAGTATCCCATACCGAAACCGTCATTTCATCTGACATTCTGTTAACCATTCCTTTCCGGTTAGCCAACTTACTGCTTATAAACACACATCTTCCACGATATTTCTCGATATATCATTTCTGCTCTAAACCGTAATTTAACGTAAACAATGACAACATATTAGAATTAAATAGATTAAATCCGACAAATATTTTGATTTATTTTCTGTTTAAATGTTACTTTTATGAATAAAAATTATTCCAGTATAAAATAATTTTCTTAGTGGTGAATGTTTAACAGCACGGTTTCCATGAGGGATACTGGTTCGATTCCTGTCGGATTACGCATATTTTTTACGAAATTTCTGGAACATTCAGGCCAGCAAATGTGATTAATACTGTTATATTAAAACGAGCATTTACTCAAATAAGTTGTATCCATAAAATAACGCATCATCAGAATATATATATATATATATATATATATATATATATATATATATATATATATATATATATATATATATATATATATAATGAAAACAGACCATTTTAAGGTACCATTACGATAATTTATTTCACCAAAATTCTTTTTTAAAGGATTTCGGATCATCAGGTAACAGTTCCAACAATGAAATGAGAGAAAAATGTGATTAGAAATTGATGGGTAGTGTAATTTTTGTAATTAAACAGGGAGGGTGAAGGTGGCGGTTAAAAGAGATATTAGGTTGGTGCAAAAATAATGACGTAATAATGTTGTTTTTTGACGTAAAAAAATACGTCAAAAAACGACATTATTACGTCATTATTTTGCACCAACCTAATACAAATTATAGGGAGGGTTCAGTTTACATCACTTAAGTTAAGTTAAGTTTAAATATATATATATATATATATGTGTGTGTGTGTGTGTATGTGTGTATCATATATATTTATATAATATAAATACACATAAATATTTATAATTTATTGTATTCCTTACTAATGAATAAACATACTTTTCATATAATTACCTGTACAAAGATGCATAATAAATAACTAAATATGCATAGAAAACAGAAAAAAACGTTGATTTAATAGAAATAAATCCCATTTTACCCCTTTTAATGGGTGAAAAAGTATTCGTACAATACAAAAAGGCATAATGTTCATTTAATACTTTGTAGAATAGCCATTATTCACTTCTACAGCAACCAAACTCTTCTTGGAGTTCTCAATTAATTATTTGCAAATTTTACTTGGTATTTTGTTGCATTCTTTTTCGCATATGGTCTTCAGATCCGATATGTTTGTTGAAACTCTCGATTGGATTTGAATTTTCAAATAATCCCACTGATTCTCGATTGGGTTTAAATTTGGCGGCTGACTTGGCCATCTCAGGATATTTACATTATTTTCACAAAGCTATTTCTTCGTAGATTTTGCAGTGTGCTTAGGATCATTATTTTATTGGAAAATCCAACCAGGAGGAAGTTCAATATTTTCAACCGAAATCATTAAATTTGCTTCCAAAATATTTTGATATGCTGCGGCATTCACTCTGCCATCTATTACTAATATGATGCCAGTACCTTTCGCAGAAAAAACATTCCCAAACCATGATACTACCACCACCAAATGTCACTGTTGGGACTATGCTCTTTTGTTTGACGGCATCCCTGTTTTCCCCCCATACATGTTTTCTAGAATTAAGTCCAAACAACTCAATTTTTTTTTCGTCTGTTCATAATACCTTTTCGTAATTCCTATGAATTTCATTGCTTATTGCAGGATTATTTACACAGATTCCTGATGAAAGCAATTCATCTTGCAACTCTTGACAGTTAATTTTGGTTTTGTTTCATTTGATGCATTAATTTCCTCAAATATCTCGAAGAAATCTTCGGTGGAGCAGCTGCTCTTCTTTGGTTTACAACAGTTTTGAGTTTTTTTATACTTTGCATTCAAATTGCAGTAAATTGAATGTTCAGGTTGTCTGGAATTTTCCTCTAACTTTCCAGAGCTTGACAATCAGTTCTTTTTGCGAATTTGTCATTTCTTTACCTCTTGACATGATGAAAATCTTCTTGCACGAATATTAATTATAGAATGTTCTATTTGTATTTTTAAGCTAAAAGTAACTATTGATAATATTACTAGAACATTCTAGAATATTCCACTTGAATAATCTAGAGTATAAAATCAATTTAAATGGTTTTAAAATCTGAAACTTGTATGAATACTTTTTCGCACATTAAAATGGATAAATGGGATTTATTTTTATTAAATATTTTTTTTCTGTTTTCTATGCATATTTAGTTATTTTGCATCTGGGTACAGTTAATTATATGAAAAGTAGTTGGAAGTTCAATAAAATAAAAATTTGTGTGTGTACGAATATTTTTTCCTTAACCTTCTATTTAAACAATTTTTTTCAAGTATAAAATATATAAATCTGCGAAAAATTATAATACGTCTTTGTACAAACGTTGTTTATGTACGATTTAATATAAATTAAATGCATACATATAAAATTGGGCTTTGCTAACCAGATGCTTCTTTGTAGCTAAATGGTATAGCACGTCAGATCAAATGACGGTTTCTGTATAGGAATACAGGATGTTGTATTGCACTTTTTCCCACATTAAAATGGATATGTGCAAATATATAGAAAAATAGGAAATTCGCTTGAGGATAAAACAGAGCTAGTTTTTATAGCTATGGAATCATATTTTTAAAAATAATTATAATATAATTTTGTATGAATACTTTTTTCCCACATTAAAATGAATAAATTGGATTTATTTCTATTCAATCAAAATTTTCCTGTTTTGTACGCATATTAATTATTATGCCTTTCTTTCATATAAGTATGTTTATTCATTATTTAGAAATACAATAAATCTGTATGTGTACGAATATTTGTTTCCTCCGACCGTACATTTAAATAATTTTGCCAAGTATAAAATATATACATTTACAAAAATCTATTTTCAATAGCAGTGGAGTTTTCCGAGGGGAGCGTACCTTTAGATTGTTCCTATGAATTTCATTGCTTATTGTCCGTTTAGTGACTAGCAACAGACAGCATGTATACGCATAGAGAACGAGTGCCGTGAATATGCAAAAATAGAAAGGGGCGTAAGGCAAGGGTGCATCTTCTCACCAGACCTGTTCAACCTATACAGCGAGGCAATTCTGAGAGTATTGGAAACACTACCGGGATTTAGCATTAGCGGCCACAATTTTTACAACATAAGATACGCAGATGACAAAGTACTGACAGCAGATACGAAAAAGAAATTACAAAATCTCCAACAGAAGGTAGCAACGGATAGTGAGAAGAAAGGACTAAGCATAAACTACAAGAAGACAGATTGCATGGTCGTCAGTAAGAGGAAGAGCTTGAGATGCGATTTGCAGGTCGGAAACACTAGAATCAAGCAGACACGGAAGGTTAAATATCTGGGAAGCCTCTTGACAGAGGACGGTAAGTGCGACACTGAGATCCGTAGACGTATTGGGATGGCCAAGGACGCATTCCAAAAGGTTCTAGAGTCCTTGTATATCAGATCCCGTGGGCCTTCCCTCTGTAAACAGAGGGAATGCTTACTGGGTCTGAATGTTATTGGACTCAAGCTTTCTTGAAATTCATATTTTTTTTTTATATACCAGAAATAAACTTGATAACGCTGGGACGAAACCGGACAACATGGAAACTTATTTTAGCCGACTCGTTTCGTCCTGTAATGGATTTGTCAAGGCAAAGTGTTCGGGTTACAGTTAAAGTCCATTCGAGACATCTTAAACAAAATAATATTCCTTGTTAGAGCGAGCAGCAGAATCAGGACAGAGATAGGACAAGAATAGTGCGGGTACGTTACCGTTGCAATGAATTAGAATTTTATCAGAAACAGAAATAAAAATGTAGAAGAACGTACACCTGTGTTTTTTAGACTATGCAAAGGCGTTCGATAAAGTACGCCAGAATGATCTGTTGGAAGTGCTCAGCAACCTTGACATATTCGGGAAATCATTAGACAAATGAAAAAAAAAACACTACTGGCAGTAAACTTCCATCATAATAATAAAAAAAAATGAGTTCAGGAAATATACAAAAATAGAAAGAGGCGTAAGGCAAGGGTGTGCCTTCTCACTGGACCTATCCTATACGCGAGGTAATTTTGAGAGAACTGGAAATCCTATCAGGATTCAGCGTTGGCGGACACAATTTTAACAAGATACGCTAATAGCAGACACGTAAAGGAAACTACAAAACCTCCTAGAGAAGATAATGAAGGAGAGGGAGAAGAAAGGACAAAGCAAAAACTACATGAAGACAGGATTTATAGTCATCAGCAAAAAGATGATCCCACGCTGATATCTCAAAGGCGCATTCCCATAGCTAGGCAGAATATTACGATACAGGAGGATTTTCTATGGTCCGGTTCCTTGTACCACGGAGATAGTCCAAGGTAGAACCAATAAAGAAGAACTCGAACACGTATATGGAATAACACAGATATATTACAGACAGGAATATATACATAGAAGTAAAAAGTGTTAGTACGAACAATCAGGTTTAGTAGTAATTGTCTGAACGCGACTCTGTTTCGGACTGCCTCTGACTCGACTGACTGACTGACTCGCTCGCTCTGACTGACTGACAGACTCCTGACGGACTTTACTCCAGACTTTAGACTGAACAGTATTTAGTCACCCCACCCCACGAGGGCATCATGTGGCACAACGCCGTTTTTAACATGGGATCCCCGTGCCCGTGGGCTCGGCCAAAAATATGCCCTTTGAACCCGAATAAATAGGTCCAGGGTCGGTTTACCTCCCCGAAAGAGACTCCGCCCTTCGGCGTAGCCTCGTTCGGGTTCCCCCGCGCCCGAAGGCAGAGAGTTCAACCGATCAGCCGGTCAGCCGGTCGCCCAACTTCAGACTGAACACCCTGCTTCCTCTTGAGGCGCAGTATTTATTACGTATGGAATAGTCCATTATGTTATTATGGGTAAGGTCCCATAACAGTAACAAAGAAAAGATTATTGAAATACTACGTGATATCAGTGTTCCTTTACGGCAGCGAATGTTGGACGGTCTCCTCAAAGATAAAGAAGAGGCAACGGAGGTATGGTTCTACTGAAGGATGCTGAGGATACAATGGACCGAACATGGAAGCAACGATGAGGTTTTTGGAGAGGATGCCAACAATGAGGAACATTATACTTAACATTAGCGGGAGGCAACTCAAATTTCTGAGACACGTAACGAGAAAGGATGACTTGGAAAATTTGATACTCACAGGGCGGAGAAAGGGGAAGAGGAACAAGTAAATGCAACGCGTGATATACGTAACGGGCTAGTGGATGGCAGAACAGCGTCTGGGAGAATTAAAAGAAAGACAAACTAATTGATATGTACAAGGGACAAGAAGAAAAGGAGAATAAGGATCACCTACGCCCTGAAGGGACACGGCACATAAAAATTGAAGAATTAAGATGTCACGAATGCGCATGTCATAGAATTAACGCACACCCTTGTTCAAAAACGAATAATTCCGTTATTATTTACTTTTTTTTGCAGTATTTTTCCAATGAAATTCTACCCACTGCACGTGTTGTACTTCATATATATCCATTCCACGAAGTCGTTCCTTGAAGATTGAACTCAGATTCTCGATTGGAAATCAGGAGACTTTCAGGGCCAGTCGATAGTAAATTGATTGGTTCATTGCAGCGTTGCTACATTCCTGCAGCGTTACAATTTTCGTAGTCTTCCTTGAAGTAATGTCCATCGCAGACAATGCCTGTAGGACAACTAATCGACAGTCGAGACAATAGTGTCTGGACGTGGTAAAAACATGATGCAATTTTTCAAGGGCAAACAAATTTATCAAGCATCCCCAAAATATATTTATATTACTATACACCACTGCAAATGACCTAATCTGAGGAAAAAATTAAAATCGATTACGCCCTGTCACTCCAATGGGTCTATAACTGACCGTATGCTGAAAGTCATGAAACTAAAGAGATTGCTTCAGTTAATTTGCACAAGGGTATTATATATATATATATATATATATATATATATATATATATATATATATATATATATTTATGAATAAAAATGACAATAGGAAAACTGGTAATTGCTGACGCGTTTGTCTGACGATCGCTAAAGCGTGAAACCCAGGGTCACAAACTCACATCTATCCAACCAAAATATATATATATATATATATATATATATATATATATATATATATATATATATGTATGTGTGTGTGTGTGTGTGTGTGTGTGTGTGTGCAAATATATAGAAAAATAGGAAAAGAACACGTTAGGTTAATAATCCGAAGTTCTTTAGTATTTTTGTTTTTATTTAAAAAATCGTGCTCAATACAAAAGTAGAGCCTAAATTATAATCATATTTTAAAAAAAATAATATATATATATATATATATATATATATATATATATATATATATATATATATATATATATATATATATAAATAAAAAATGAGAATAGTTTAGCAACTGGAATGTAGAGAAACGTTATTTCATTTTTAACTGAAAAATAACGTCAGAGTTTGTAGCGTTTTAAACATTCCAGTTGCTAGGTACATTCTGTTTTTGTTTTTATTAGTTACTTTGTTCATTTAATTTCATTTTCGTATTTTGCTTTGATAAAGTCCACATTGGACGAAACGCGTCAGCAATTACCAGTTTTCCTATTGTCATTTTTATTCATAAATATTGTCTTCTCTACCGATTAAATCGGAGAAATTTTCATATATATATATATATATATATAAATCTCTATATATATATATATATATATATACACTTCAGAATCTGTTTCACAAAGTGACAGTTCCGAGAAAGAATGTCTCTGAGTGGAACATCTTTCTTACAAATGGAATGCTAAAATAAAGGAAACTAAATCACTTGTTTCAATTAATTTGCACAAGATGTATATTAAAAAATATATTAAAGATGCAGAAGACAATTAAATTGTATGCATTCATCTGATTTTTTTTTTTTTTTTGTAAATCTCAACCTGGTCAGGCCGAGACCTTTCCAGAAAGCTCTCGAATTTCCTGATTTATTTTGTTCGCGTTTGCCTTCTCATGTCTACAAAATACATTAGAATTCTAACGAATTTTCATTGCTCTCAAGAATATCAACTGTGAAGCAATCACGTCTATAATTCTTGACGTCGTGTCCTGCAGTTCGTTAATCATTACTTATTACTTTATCCCCTCCATTCATTCGCTTAGATATTCGTTCACGCCGCTTGTGCCAAACTTCGAAAGCCCGGTAATGTCTTTTAACCTTCTTCTGAACGCCGAATCAATCAGCGTTTATTTGATTTAAATTTTGATCCGGCTCTGACGTTATTAACGTCAACTCTGTTAAAGAAAACTGGAATCGGATTTCCTTAAAATTCCAGAACTATTTGTTCGGGCCTTTGGCAAAGAACAAAAGACGTTCACTAAAATTCCATATATATATATATATATATATATATATATATATATATATATATATATATATATATATATATGAAGAAAATATATAAAATAATATTTCAAAAACAAACAAAAATCGTCAACGTAATATAATGCAATTTTCAGGACATATTTAAAAAATATGAAAAAACGATATTAAAACATTTCTGATCTTATAAAAAATTCAGTTATTTGTTTGGATTAGTCTTGTTTTGTGTCCATCGTCTTTTTTTCATGTTGAATTGAATATAGTCTAATGTTAATTATATTTATGAATATGTCCTGAAGATGGTCTATTAGACCGAAACGTCCGACGTTGACATTATATTAACATTAAAAACAGCATAATTGCATATTAGATTTTTGTTTGTTTTTCCGAATATTTTTCTTCATACTGTCGGATCTATATCCATATATTTGCTTTTATATATATATATATATATATATATATATATATATATATATATATATATATATATACGTACCCCCAAATATAAGCGATACCTCAGATTTAAAATGAAATTTTTAAAAATGAAAAATCTTTTTATTTTATTTTTTAATTTCAATAGATTAATATTTCCCAAAAGCAAAATACATTGCTCTTTCTCAAAACGAATTTAAATTGACCCCCAAAAAGGTTTTAGCCCGGAGAAATAAACAACGGCCAATTTCAAAATTTCATTACGTAATCCCAAATCGATATATATATAAAAGAATATTTGGAACTATTATGGAGTAGGTCCTCTCTTTCTTAGCTTTTGTATTCGATATTTCATGGATTTGATCAAGTTATTAACAATCGTCTGAGCCATATGTCTTTAGCAATGTTTCTTTAAGGGTTGCCACTGAAGTGATTTTGGTTGCACGGTCTCGAAGTTTTCGGTCTAGCTACTCCCAAACGAACTCTATTGGATTCCTGATAGGATCATGGGCTACCTATGGCAGTGACTTGATTCCTTACAATTCTTTCCAGGCTTTTGCTACTTTCCTCGTCTGACATGGGCGCTCCATCTTCTTGAAAAAGGTAGATATTCTTGTCAATCTGATTGGTTTCAAATAGTGGGAGTAGTCCTTTCTCTAATATTTGAGCGTATTTTGGACCATTCAACGCCTCATCAACAAGAATCAGCTCAGATTACCCTCCAAAGCAGACAGCGCACCACACCATTACTTCAATCTCTCCATGTTTCACGGTCGTCTGCAGACATTCAGTATTCCAAGTCTCATTCTGATTTCTCCAAACATAAGCCTGTCTCGAATTCGAATATTGGCAGAATTTACTTTCATCTGACCAAATTACAGACTGCCAAAATTCATAATCTTTGCTCTCGAATTATCTCGCCTGCCTCTGTTAACCCATGAAATCAAGGGCTTCTTTCTTTCAACTCTTCTTTGATAGCCTAGCTCTTTCAGAGTCTTTCTCACCGCATATGTCAACATTTCTATACAGTTGGCGACATCTTTGACGTTCTGACGACGGTTTCTGATGATATCCCTCTTCAGCGCCTTTTTCATCCGCTCATACACGATGCTTGGTCTTCCTGAGCGTTGTTCCACACAACAATGGCCTTCTTCATTAAATTTCTTGACAATATTATTAACCGTTTGATAATTAACCTTGAAAAACATAGCAAATTATTTATTTGACTTGCCACACTGATGGCATCCTATTATTTTCCCTTGTTGAAATTCACTAATTTCCTTACTTCCATGAACTTTCATTGCAAGATATAAGTCAACTGTTGTTCATAGATGAGAATAGGTTGATACTAACACAGTATTATCTGAAAAAAAAGAAGAGATTTTATTACACAAGTCAAAATGGCTGTAATTAAGGGTGGCTAAAAACTTATCATCGGCCACTGTACTTCATGACATTATTACGTGAATGACACTTCAGAAACACGTAGACATCGCCACGTCTCCCCCTGATTTTCACCTACTGACTACCACTTTTGCAATATCGAACCGTCTCAAGAAAATAATCTGTAAAAAGTGTTATAAAGTTTAATGTACCTACTTTTAAGTACAGCTAAATTAACTAATGTGATTTTTATCGTAAAAGGCATAGATAAGGTTGATGCCGATAACAGAAATAACAGTGAAAACACTAGCAGAACAAAACCCGCGTCAAAGTGCCAGAGAAATGTCCCAGATAATGGCTGTCTAACTTTTTTAACACTATCGGACCGTCTCAAGAAAATCGGCAAGGTGATAAACTCGATAAATGGATTCACATGAAAAAACAGAAGAGACGTTATTGCACAAGCGAAAATGGTTGTAATCAAGGGTGGATAAACACTTATCATGGCCCACTGTAAATTTGACTGGAAATAATTTAATTTCAAATCGCTAAAAATAGCTGCATTCAGCCATATTTACAAATCTATCAGTACAACGAAATTCTATTTAAAATATTTAAAATTTAAAGTATACTTTCCTGAAACTTAATATGAAGACTATTAAGTAATTTAAATTTTACTTAATCTGATTTTAAACAAATATTACTTAATTTTAGTTTAAAATATCGTAGAGAAACATTTTTTTTTAACTCGGAGGTAAGTATATTTGTGAGATGCTGACAACTATCTCGAACAATGTTTCTCAACGTTTTTAAGCAATGGTACACCTAGGAGCAAATGAAAATATCACGACATACTTGACAAAATTTTAAAAGGTATAAATTTAAATGTTATGAAATAAAACCAAAGATATTTTTTTTAAAAAGTAACACAAATATAAACTTTATTTCAATGTTTCTGTTCAAATTCTTGTGCAGCTTCTTTAGTGTGAAACCTGTGCTTGGTTTTTTTTTTTTTTTTTTTTTTTTTTTTCGATTTGTTTAATGATTTGAATGTGCGATAGGGAGACATTAATTTCTTCTTCAGTTGAGCGTAGTCTTTCGCGCTTCTTATTTTTGATGTTATTTAAGGTTGAAAAGCCTAATTCACATAAGTAAGAAGTAGAAAGTTGTAAGAAAGTTGATAAAGTATTTTTAGGATATGTGAGATAAAAAGGCTTATGCTTATTCGTTTTTTTTTTTTCCAAATACTAAGGCTGTACCATTACTAATTCCACGTGCACATATTTCACGGCCTTTGAGAATTACAGATCTCGATAGAAGGATATATCTATAAAAATTACATGTCGAATATAACATAAGAACCTTTTTTCACTATTTAAATTATTCAGACTATCATCCTCATCTTTGTTGAGATATTTATCACAACGTTTCGGTGGTTGTACGCTCCGACATTCTTCAGGTAGTTGGAAAGTCGAACTGAATCTTTTATTTCGCGGACACATGGCATAGCGGATAAAAGGCGTTAGTGACAGGACCCAAAGAATGTGAGTTCAATCCCTGGTTAAGGCAGTGGAGAATTTAGAGAGGGGAATTAACAGGAGATAACTGATATAAGTGACATCCATTAAACATGGCACGTGGAACTACCGCAGCAAACGAAATAAAGAGTTCAATTAGACATTCCAACCACCTGAAGAAGGCCGGAGCGTACAACGGCAGAAACGTTGTGATAAATATGGCAACAAAGTTGAGGACAATAGTCCGAATAATGTAGATAGTATACATAACACTTCATCTCAGAAATATAGACAAATACTGGAGAATCTTTTTATATAATGTTTAACAACCCAGGAAAATATTTTAAGTAATCTGTTATTTTATTGAATTTTAAGCACTTTGACTTTAAATTTACTATAGTTACTCCTATTTTTTCTGTTAATAATGTGTATAGACATCCGTATTTATAAAAAATCGGCACAATAATTCATAAATGAAAATTCCAAAATTATTTTTAAAATACGGGTGGTCGTTGAACTGTCGTAATCTTTTCTATTTATAGTATATATAGTTTTTACTTCATAACAATAGCATATAAAAAATAATACATTATTTTAAAAGATTTAAAACTTTATTTGGATTGTTTATATTGTTCGAAATGTTTTCTTCATCTTTGTTGCAATATTCACGACATTTCGGCCGTTGTATACTACGGCCTTCCTCAGGATCTGTCTATATTTCTGAGATGAGGTATTTTAATTATTTACACTATTTACATTGTTCGGACTGTTGTCCTCATCTTTGTTGCCATATTCACGACATTTCGGCCTTTCTCAGGATCTGTCTATATTTCTGAGATGACATATTGTAATTATTTAAATTGTTCGGACTGTTGTCCTCAACTTAAGTGTTCAGTTCGAAATTCCAATCAGTTGAAGAAGGTCGTAGCATACAACAGCCGAAACGTCGTGAATATCGCAGCAAAAATGAGGACCACAGTTCAAATATTATAAATATCGATGCCATGTTCGTAGTAGCAGAACATTTGGACGAAATTAAGAATAAATCTTAAAGAATTCTGCCGAAACAGATCCGTCTTGATCTTTGGGACTTTCCAACCGTTATAATTGTACATCTTCACTGTATAAAAGTGGTACCCAACCAATTTGGGGCCATACCCCACTTTGCTATTTCTAAAGTTCTGGTGTGACCTGTAAATATTTCAGTTTTACATATTTAAAAATTTACTGGAATTCAAGTGAAGGGAGCTTATACGAAGTGCTAGAGAAAAGCAATAATAACAACAAAATTGCAATATGAGCTCTGGTAAAATATATATATATATGAAGAAATTTTGAAAAAACAAACAAAAATCCTTAAATGTAGTTAAATGAAAGAAATGTCGACGTCTGACGTTTCGGTTTATTAAACCTTTTTCAAGACAATATTCATCAAAATACAATTCAGTTCAATATGACAAATACGATGGACACAAAAACACAAGTCTT